AGTAGTAGTGGTGGCAGTAGTAGTTAGTAGTAGTAGTAGTTAGTAGTAGTAGTAGTAGTAGAGTAGTTGGTAGTGGAAACAGGGTCGTAGTAGCCGTAGTAGCGGTAGTAGTAGTAGTCGTAGTCGTATGGTGTAGATCGTAGTAGTAGCAGTTTAAGTAGTAGTAGTAGTAGTAGAGTAGTGTAGTAGTAGTAGTAGTTTGCAGTGTAGTAGTAGTTAGTGTTGTAGTATAGTCGTAGTAGTAGTAGTAGTAGTAGTAGTAGGGTAGTAGCAGTCGTAGTGTTATTAAGTAGTAGTAGTAGTAGTAGTAGTAGTAGTCGTAGTCGTTACTCGTAAGTTTCATAGTGTATAGTAGGCGTAGTAGTAGTAGCTAGTAGTCGTAGTTAGTAGTAGTTAGTAGTAGTAGTAGTAGTAGTTAGGAGCAATAGTAGTAGGTAGCGTAGTAGTAGAGTAGTAGTGTAGAATAGTTAGTAGTATTTTGTTAGTGAGTAGTAAGCTTAGTAGTAGTAGTAGTAGTAGTAGTCAGTGGTAGTAGTAGTAGTAGTAGTAGTAGTAGTAGTAGTGGTAGTAGTAGTAGTAGTAGTAGTTGTAGTTGTAGTAGCCGTAGTGGTAGTAGTAGTAGTAGTAGTAGTTGTAGTAGTAGCAGTAGTAGTAGTAGCAGTAGTAGTAGTCTTAATGGAAGTAGTAGTAGTCGTAGTCGTAGTAGTAGTAGCAATCGTAGTCGTAGTCGTAGGAGCAGTAGTAATAGGAGAAGAAGAAGAAGAAGAAGTAGTAGTAGTAGTAGTAGGAGTATCAGTAGTAGTAGTTGTAGTAGTCGCTGTAGTATGAGTATCACTAGTAGTAGTAGTAGTAGTAGTAGTAGTCGTCGTAGTAGTAGTAGTAGTAGTCGTAGTAGTAGTAGTAGTAGTAGTAGTAGTAGTAGTACTAGTACTAGTACTAGTACTATTCATGGTAGCAGCCGTAGTCGTAGTAGTAGTAAAAGTAATAGTTGTAGTAGTAGTCGTCGTAGTAGTAGTTGATGATGTAGTAGTAGTAGTAGTTGCTGTTGTGGTAGTGGTAGTGGTAGTGGTAGTGGTAGTGGTATTGGTAGTGGTAGTGGTGGTAGTAGTGGTAGTAGTAGTAGTAGTAGTAGTAGTAGTAATAATAGTAGTAGTAGTAGTAGCAGTAGTAGTAGTAGTAGTAGTAGTCGTAGTCGTAGTCGCAGTCGTAGTCGTAGTAGTAGTCGTTGTTGTCAGTCGTAGTTAGTAGTAGTAGTAGTAAATAGTAGTAGTAGTAGGTAGTATCAAGTGAGCAGAGTAGTATTTTAGTAGTAGTGAGTAGTAGTTAGTTAGTAGTTCTGTAGTCGTAGTTTAGGTTCGTAAGTCGTAGTAGTAGTAGTATGTTAGTAGTAGTCGTTTTTAGTAGTAGTGTAGTAGTAGTAGTGGTAGTGGTTAGTGGTAGTCGTAGTACGTAGTCGCGTCGTAGTCGTAGGTATCGTAGTAGTAGTAGTAGTAGTAGTAGTCATAAGGATTAGAGTAGGAGTAGGAGTAGGAGTAGTTAGTAGTAGTAGTAGTAGTTAGTTATAGTAGTAGTAGTAGTAGTGTTGAGTGGTGGTGTTGGTGGTGGTGGTGGTAGTAGTAGTAGTAGTAGTAGTGGTGGTGGGGCGTTGGGTGGTGGTGGTGGTGGTGGGGTGGAGGTTAGTAGTAGTAGTAGGAAGTGGTTAGTAGTTAGTAGTAGTAGTAGTAGTAGTAAGTGGTAGTAGAGAAGTGTAGTAGCCGTCGTCGTTTTTGTTTTGGGAGTTAGATGTTTGGGGCGTGGTGGTTGGAGTTTGGCGTTTGGTGTTCGAGGTTTGGTGTTTAGTGTTTGGTGTTTGGGGTTTGGGAGTTGGGTGTTGGTGTTTGGGGCATGGTGTTTGGTGTTTGGGGTTTGGTGTTCAGGGTTTGGGGTTTGTGTTTGGTGCGTTGTTTTTGGTGTTTGGGGCATGGTGTTTGGTGTTTTGGGTTGTGCTTAGAGGTTTTGTGTTTGGGGCGTTGTTGTTGGTGTTTGGTGTTTGGGGTTTGTTGTTTGGTGTGTTGGGTTTGTGATTTGGGGTTTGGGTTTGGGTTTTGTGTTTGGGGTTTGGTGTTTTGGGATTGGGGTCTGGGGTCCGGGGTTTGGGGTTTGGTGTTTGGTGTTTGGGGTTTGGGGTTTGGTGTTTTGGGTTTGCGGTTTGGGGTTTGGTGTTTGGGGTTTGGGGTTTGGGTTTTGGGGTTTGGTGTTTGGGGTTCGGTGTTTGGGGCTTTGTGTTTTGGAATCGGGGTTTGGGGTTTGGGGTTTGGTGTTTGGTGTTTGGTGTTTGGAGTTTGGGGCTTGGTGTTTGGATTTTGGTGTGTGGTGTTTCGTGTTTGGGAGTTGGGGTTTGGGGTTTGGGGTTTGGTGCGTGATGTTTGGGGTGTGGTGCGTGGTGTTGGGGTTTAGGTGTGTGTTTTTTTTGGAGGTGGAAAATGTACAAAAATCTCACCTTGAGATCCAACCGTCTCGGCATTTTGCCGCGGTCACCCAAAGAACTAACCGATTTCCCGGGGAACCAACGCTTTTCTCGGATAATTTTTTTCCCCCCCCTGAGCTGGGATGGGCTCCGAGGGTCCCACAGCCCCCCCCGCAGACGGGATGGTGGGGCGACGATGACGGCGACGACGATGACGACGACGATGACGACGACGACGACAACGATGACGACGACGACGACGATGCCGACGCCGACGCCAACGCCGATGCCGACACCAACGCCGACGCCGACGCCGACCCCGACGCCGACGGAAGACGACGACGACGCCGACGTCGATGACGACGGCGACGACGACGCCGACGACGCCGACGACGCCAACGACGACGACGACGCCGATGCCGATGCCGACAGCGACGCCGACGCCAACGCCGACGGAAGACGACGGCGACGACGCCGACGCCAACGTCGACGGACGACGACGACGACGAACCACCCCACACCCACATGGGGGGAGAGCACTGGCACCCGCCACCACGCCACGCCCACAGCGCCACGACAACGGGGGAGTGGAGCGATCCCATTCACGAGGCCTTCGTGAGGCTCACGGGCGAACCCATCCAGCGAAGGGGGGTGCGGGCTCGATCCCATGTGCATTGGGGGGCAGGGGTGCAACCCTTGATCATACATGTTGCCGCTTGGGCCGCTGGGGACCTCCGCACAGCACTCTGGCCCATTCCGCTCCTTCCCCTCCTCCTTTCCCTCGTTGCTCCTCCGTGAGCTTGCGCTGCTCTTGGACAGTGGCGCAGCTGCGAATGTGGGCCATGGATTTGTTTGAGAGTCTCGCATGCATGTTACAGTCAACCCGCATAGGAAGGATGGTCAATCTTCCCAAGGGTACCCTTGCATCCTTGCCTTCTCGGCCCATCCTTGGCCACTTTCGCGGGGCCGCGCCCCGCTCGAAAAGCTTCGAATTGAATGGGCGTCCAAGGCCCGTGCATCCTTATCGCGCGTCCTTGTGATACGGGACGACTGTCGTTGCTGGTGAAGTGTCTGCGGTGACGAGGCCCTTGCATCCTTATCGTGCGTCTTTCTGATACGGGCCGACTGTAGTTGCCAGTGGAATGTCTGCGGTGAAACAATAGGGGGACGAACAACGACGTAAACATAACAACTGGGAGGTCCGCGCGGATTTCTCGGATCGGCGCTTGACCCCCCTCCCTGGCGCGCGGAGTGCGCCAGGGGCAGCGCCGGAGGCGCCGCCAGGGGGGTCAGCGCGGATCCGAGGAATCCGCGCGGACCTGCGAGTTTTCATGCTCGTACCATTGTACGTTCCCCTAAACAAATGCCGAAGCTCGGTCGAACCATCTAGGGTGCGACACTGTCCAGCTCCTGGGTCGCCTACAGGGGCGTATGTCTGAGGCGGCCCTGGGCCTTCGACAGTGGCGCGGCGGCGGGCCTTGGCCATGGCATCCTAGTGAGTCTCGCATGCAAGTTAGTTTTAGGTCGGGCATGTCCTCCTACAGGCGGATGGTGGACACAAATAAAACATATCCGAACACATATGCAAGGGTACCCTTGCACCCTTGCCTCCTCGGTCCATCCTTGGCCACTTTCGCTGGCCGCGCCCTGCTCGAGAAGCCTCGAAACGGTCTTCCAAGGCCCTCGCATCCTTATCGCGCGTTCTCATTCTACGCGTCGACCGTAAGTCTTTTCCAGGATGTTGGTCGCCTCTTCGGGCCTCACTGGAGGCACCGTTGGGCGCCTCGTCTTGACGTCTTGTGGCCTCTTGAGGCCTCTTGAGTCCTCTTGATTGTTGGCTCGGGCACGCGAGCACGAGGTGGTCGCCTTTGGAAGGCTCAATAAAGCCTGTCACCAGACAGTTTACAAGCGTTCTGGCACACCTCAAAGGGCCAGCAGTAGTCGAAGAAGAAAAACGCCATAAACATACACTTTGGCGCTCCGCGCGGATTTCTTGGATCCTCGGTGCCCCCCCCACCACCGGCGGCGCCTCCTGCGCCGCCCCTGGCGCGCTCCGCGCGCCAGGGAGGAGGATCTAGCGCGGATCCAAGAAACCCGCGCGGAGCGCCAAAAGTTTATGTTTATTGCGTTTTTCCTTCTTCTAAGTAGGCACGTCAAATACGAATCAGCCTGCAAACAGGTGCGCCACGGACATGTCTCATCCCACGATGGCCACCCCGGGGACCCACCGAAGCCCTGGTAGACCTTAGGAAGTCCAAGGTCCACGAAGAACGTGCCCCCAGTTTCTTTGGGCCAAGCAACACCTTGCTTGCCTCCAGCGTGCCCTGGCTTTCTTGGGTTTCTATGGTCTTGCGATGGAGAGCGTGCCGTTCCCACACCAAAGACCAAAGGACGTCCTGGGGTCTCTGGGTTTGCTTTCCTGTGGAAGGCTTCTTGTGGACTGGCCTCCACTGCATCGCAGTTGCCGACTGCGCGGCAGGGTGGCGGATTGGATCGACTGTGCGTGCAAGGTGACCGAGCGGCTGGACCCGGACGAGGACATGGAGCTCTTCTGCGTCCGCCGGCGCTCCGTGCAGACCCACATGGCCGACGTGGAGGAGGCCGCGTGCGGCCTGGACTTTGCGGAGGCGAGCGAGGCGATGCGCCACGACCGCGGCAGAGAGGACGGCAGGCTCCTCTACAGCGGGTCGATCAACTCCGTCTTCGCCGCGCTGCCCTACCTGCGGGAGATCTCTGGGCGCAGGATGAGGGAGCACCAGCTCTCAAGGTCGGGCTGCGACTCCTGGGTGGTCGAATTCAGCATCTTCGACGGTATACCCGCGGTCGAAGACGAGCCACAGTCCGCGCAAGCCCGCCCAGCTTGGCTCGATCCAGCTTGCTCCAGCTTGCTCCGGCCTCATCTGGCCTCGTCCTGGGCTTCCTCCTGGTCTTGATCCTGGGCTCGATCCGGCGTAACGGCTTGCTCATAGCCCTCAACCTGACTCTAAAGCCCTTGCTCACGCTCATACGGCATTGATTGTGATGGGCCCATGTTCTATCACCACCCCTATAGGTAGAAGGAGGAGGAAAAGGAGGAAGAGGAGAAGGAGGAGGAGAAGGACCTCCTCATCCTCCCTTCTCCCCCGTCCTACACATGGTAGTGGTGGTGGTGGAACATCTACAGAGGGTGATCGCATGTTCTCCATCTCTGTCTCGCAGACTCGGCGCCACGGCGCCACCGCTGCGTTCCCACAGAGGGGGCCTCGCCTCGGCGGGCGTGTGCGCGTCCGGCCGTCTGTCAATCGCCCCTGCTCGTTCTCGGGACGACCTCGCTGGAGCTGCCCTCGCCCCGGGTTCCCCTTTTTGGCCCTCCTGGGAGGCCCTCCTCGCCGCCGCTGGATTCGCCTCGGAATCCTGGTCAGAACGCACCCCGGGAGAGGTCTGGGGAGTAGCGGTATCGGTTCCTTTCGGTCTCGCCAGTTGCCTCCCAAGCAAGGCCGGTGCCCTACCTGGATTTCCACCTGTCCCCGGCCGTGCCAGACGGCGAGCTCTCCAGGGCCGCCAGCGCCGATTCCTCCGACATCTCGACGATCCTCGGGACCGTGTCGGCCCAGCGTGTGTGTGCGTGTGTGTGTGTGTGTGTGTGTGTGTGTGTGTGCGTGCGTGCGTGCGTGCGTGCGTGCGTGCGTGTGTGTGTGTGTGTGTGTGTGTGTGTGTGTGTGTGTTAGCCCAGTATGTGTGTGATTGTGTGTCTTAGCCCAGTGTGTGTGTGTGTGCGTGTGTGTATGTGTGTGCCAGGCCTCCTCTCTCTTCCCGCGTGCCCTGCGGTTTAATTCGCGTTTTGTGTGACCCACTAATGCCGCATCGCCGGAGCTGTCCCTCTGCCCAGCCGCCGACGCAAAAAGTAAGTGTGTGTGTGTGTGTGTGTGTGTGTGCGCGTCTGTCGGTCATTTGCGCCTCATTGCTCCCAAGCGAGCTACTTGTGTCACTGCGCGTGCCTGTCTGTCGCGCACGCCCCCTATTCTGCACGCGCAACCGTTGCCGTGGCTGCTATCCATCGGCGCACGCTCGGTGGTAACCACACTAGCGCAAGCCTCTGGCGCACTCGCTGAGTTGGACCAGCTGGCCGTGGAGTCAAACAAGTGTGTGTGTGTATGTGCGTGAATGTTTTCACCCCGTTCGGCTCCCTCCATCGCGCTCAGCTTGTGTCGGCCCTCATCACGCTACCCGCGTCATCTTGAAAGGGCTTCGGTGGACAACCACACGTTGGCGTCAGCACACGCTCCCTGGGATCCGACGCTGCGAAACAGTGGCGGCATCGCGACAAACTGGAAACCTGGACCATCCTTTCGCTGCGCCATCTCTCGGGCCAGATCGACCCGTGATGGCCCTAGGACCCGCAGCTGGGCGAACGCGCCAGCGTCGAACAGACGGAGCCGCCCGGACCTCAGGGGTCCTGAGGATCATCGATCGTCGCATCGGCGCCCTCTGCCGCGAAGGCAGCGAGGAGGCGGCCCGCCAGCCACGCGCACGCCGTGGAGCTGGGCGGCTGGCCGTGCGAACCCGCGGAGGCGGGCCTCTCCCGGCAGCTGGGCCTCGCGGCGGCGGCCGCGGAGGCCAGAGCGCGCTGCCCTGGGACACCGCAGGACGGCCAGGGGAGCGAGGGTGCTCGCGAGGAGGAGGAGGAGGAGGAGGAGGAGGAGGAGGAGGAGGAGGAGGAGGAGGAGGAGGAGGAGGAAGAGGAGGAGGAGGAGGAGGAGGACAAGGAGGACGAGGAGGAAGAGGAGGAGGATTAGCAGGATTAGCAGCATTGGCGCAACCAGACTCCATGAGCGCAGGGAAGCCCAAACACTGGGCAGCCTTAGGCGTCGAGCCTGGGCCGCCCTCGGCTGAAAAACAGCAGAAAGGGGGCGCCCCGTGCCGCGGGGCCCCCCAGCGGACCCCAGCAGCCCCCACTAATAGGGCAGCCAGGGCCGACGAAACCCCAGGGCGGTGCGGGCCGCACTGGAAGCGCCGTGCGGCGCACCGCCCTGGGGGCCAGGGGCCCCACGCGACAGCAGACGGGCCCCCACCTCCCGCACCCCTCGCGTTCTCGGCGCTGGCGAAGGGTGCCTTCGCGCCGCGAATCGGGCGTGTGAGGCCCGCCTTCGCGCGCTGCACCCATCGCGCCCTCGGAACAGGCGATGGGTGGCGCGTCGCAGGCCCGAGGGAGCCAGCGCCAGCCCGCCCCCCGAGGGGACCCCAGGGGGTAAGGGGAAAAGAGGAGAAAAAAGGAAGGAGAGGAAGAGGCAAGGAGGTGGCAAGAAGAGGGAAAGTAGGAAGGAGACAAGGAAAGGAGAGGAAGAAGCGTAGAGGAGGTAGTAGAGAGGAGGAGGAGGGGAGGGACACCAAGTAGAACGAGCTCAGGGACCCCGAGCCCGGGGGGCCTGGCAACGGGGGGCATCCCGAGTCCGCCCCACCTGATGCCCCACCCCACCCTAGGGGAGAGACCCCCAGGGGGCCTGGGCGCCCAAGCCCCCCCGCCGCCCTCCGCCAGTCCTGCGGTTGGTCGCCGGCTCTATTTGTACCCCGCCGATACAGGCGGCGCCGACCACTTTGGGTTCCCCGGCTATCCCAGTGTGCTCACCGGGCCCCCGGCTTATGCGGGGGGGGAAAGGAAAAGGAGGAGGAGGATCAGGAGGAGGAGGAGGAGGAGGAGCATGAGGAGGAGGAGGAAGAGGAAGAGGGTGAGGAGAAGGAGGAGGAGGAGAGAGGAGGAGGAAGGAGGAGGAGGAGGAGGGAGGAGACGGAGGAGGAGGAGGCATGAGGAGGAGCGAAGAGGAGGAGGAGGAGGAGGAGGAGGAGGAGGAGGAGGCGGACGAGGAAGAGGACAAGGACGAGGACGAGGACGAGCCGAGGACGAGGAGGAAGAGGAGAAAGAGGAGGCGTGAGGATTAATGAGGCGGACGAGGGGATGAGGAGGAGGAGGAGGAGAGGAGAGGATGAGGAGAAGGAGGAGGAGGAGAAGGAGGAGGTGGAGGAGGACGAGGACGAGGAGGAAGAGGAGGAGGAGGAGGAGGAGGAGGAGGAAGAGGAGGGGGAGGCGGAGGAGGGGGAGGGGGAGGAGGAGGAGGAGGAGGAGGAGGAGGAGGAGGAGGAGGAGGAGGAGGAGGAGGAGGATGAGGAGGCGGAGGGTGCGAAGGACCAGTGTAAACCCAAGAATCATCAACGATGTTGGTATAAGCCTTGCCCCCAAGTCCTATCTTCATAGGCCACTACACCGCTCATTTTCACTGAGAAACCTGCCCCGTTGGAAGATCACCGCTTGAAGAACCTGGAGCAACGAGGCCCCGACGCCACGGATCAACCTGACTGCTGCGTCTTGACGATCTGGAATCGTGCCAGAACGCCAGTCCTGGGACTTCAAACTCACGGATCAACGTAACCGTTGCGCCCCCATGATGCTGAATCTCTCCATCACACCATTTCTGGTCCGTTGACCATGGGAAATGAAACTCTTGCAGCTTTAAAGAAGGAGTTCGCGCGGCGCTACGGCGAGAGCCACGTTTTGAAAAGGAACCGTCCTCAATCCGTGAAGCCCTTCAGGATTTCGAAAAGGAGTGTGCGCGGCGCTAAGGCGAAAACCACATGTTGAAAACCGCCCACCCTCAATCAGTGAAACAGTTGCAGATGTTTGAAACGAATGTGCGCGGCGCTAAGGAGAGAGCCACATTTCGAAGACGGCCCGCCTTCAATCTGTGAAACTCATGCAACTGTTTAAACGAATGTGCGCGGCGCTAAGGAGAGAGCCATTGTTCTCAAAACCAACCGCCGTCAGCCCGTGACACTTTTGCAAATTTTGAAAACGATGGTGCGCGGCGCTGAGGGGAGAGCCATATGTTGAAAACCACCCGCCGCCAATCCGTGAAACTCTTTGCACGTCTTTACTGCGCGGCGTTGAATCAAGAGCCACATTTTGAAGACCACCCGCCTTCAATCCGTGAAGCTGTTGCACAGTTTGAAAACCCATGTGCGCGGCGGTAAGACGAGAGCCACATTTTGAAAACGACCCGCCCTCCATTTGTGAAGCTGTTACCAATGTTTAAACTTCAGGCTCCTAAATCGTGAGGAAGTCCCTGGCGGAACGCCCGGCCCGCCCTAAAACCAGTTTCGCGGTACGACAGGGAAACGTTATGTATAAGGAAGAGGACGAAGAAGAAGGATGAGGAGGAGAAGGAGGAGGACCAGTATAAACCCAAGAGTCGTCAACGATGTTGGAATAAACCCTGCCTCCAAGTCCCCTCTTCAAGGCCACTACACCGCTTCATTTTCACTGAGGGAACTGCCTCGTTGGAAGACAGCCGCTTGAAGACCCTGGAGCATGCCCAAACCTTAGTCTCGGGGCCCCAACGCCACAGATCAACCTGATCCGTGCATCTTGACGATCCTGAATTGTGCCAGAACGCCATTCCTGGGACTTCAAATTCGCGAATCAACGTAACCGTTGCGCCCTCATAGTGCTGAGTCTTTCCAAAGTGCCATTTCTGGTACCTTGACCATGGGAATCCGTGAATCCCTTGCGCGCGGCGCTAAGTGGAGAGCCACATTTTGAAAGCCACCCGCCCCCAATCCGTGAAACTCTTGGGGGTTTTGAAAACGAGTGTCCGCTGCGCTAAGAGGAGAGCCACACTTTGAAAACGACCCGCCCTCAATCCGTGAAGCTCTCGGGGGTTTTGAAAACGAGTGCGCGCGGCGCTAATAGGAGAGCCACATGTTGGAAACGATCCGCCCTCAACCCGTGAAGTTTTTCAATTTGCACAACGAATGTGCGCGGCGCTAATTGGGAAAACCACATGTTGAAAACGACCCGCCCTCCATCTGCGAAGCTGATTTCAACTTTTCAGCTTCAGGGTCATACATGGTGAGGCAGTCTCATGCGAAACGCCCAGCCCACCCTAAAACCGGCCTCGGGGTGCGACAGGGAGAAGTTAGTCATCAGGAAAAAAGAATGGGGGAGGAGGAGGAGGCGGAGGAGAAGGAGGGGAGGAGGAGGAGGAGGAGGAGGAGGAGGAGGAGGAGGAGGAGGAGGAGGAGGAGGAGGAGAGGAGGAGGAGGAGGAGGAGGAGGAGGAGGAGGAGGAGGAGGAGGAAAAGGAGGAAAAGGAGGAGGAGGAGAAGGAGGTGGAGGAGGAGGAGGCGGCCACGAGGCCAAGGGTGTTCCGTGGTTCGGTCGGTTCGGCTGCGTCGCAGTCGGTTGCGGTTGGTCGGTTCGGTTCGGCCAGTTGTTGTGTCCGACGGCCTTGTGGTGCCGCAGGCCAGAGGAGGAAAAGGTACCGACACCGCTGCCTGTCCCTCGTTTTCGCCTCTCTGGGCCTCCCGGGAGGTCCTCGTGGCCACGGCTGGATTCGCCTCGAAGCCCATGGCCACCTGCGCGCCCCGCGAGAGGTCTGGAGATCAGCGGTGGTGGGTGCCCTGTGGCTTCCTGGGCAGGACGGCCACGAGGCCTGGCGCTGCGACGTGAAGCTGGACCAGTCCGCGGGCGAGCAGGCCGGGGACAAGTGGGCGTCGTTGGGGGTAGGTGGGCGTCGTTGGGAATACGCGGGCGTCGTGTTTCGCCGTGGTAGCGGAACACAGCAAACCAAATGCAGCAGGATGGTTGGGGAAATGCAGCCACAATGCAGCATCGCGAAAAATCGCGACGGGAGCCCCAGACCTCATGCGGTTGCGGCATCTCTCGAGCTGGATCGATCTGTGATGGCCTTGGGGCCCGAAATCGGGCGGAAGCGCCAGACATCAGAGCGACGGACAACAATGGGGTCGTCTTCACCGACGCTTGCGAGCAAGCTGCCCGCAGAAGGTCGCGCGTGAACGCCCTCGCTTCGAATGTATAGCGTGCCGCGCCGGCGGCCCGCGAAAGCCGCCGCGTAAGGTCGCTGTGCCATTTCGCGCACAGTCGACCCACACAGAACGCATGGGCAACCTTCCCAAGGGTACCCTTGCATCCTCGCCTCCTCGGTCCATCTTTGGCCAATGTCGCCGGCCGCGCCTCGCTCACAAAGCTTCGAACAATAGCCTTCCAGGGCCCTTTTGCATCCTTATCGCGCGTCCTGAAAACACGGGCTGACTGTGAGACCAGTTTTTGACCGTCGTTTGTCGTGTGAGACCCTTCGCGAAAAGCAGGGGTCGACCCAAATGGTTTCGTGCGGTTCTCGTCTCGAGTTCGCTCTGCAGCAGGGGCGGAGTGGAGACGAAAGCACGACCAGAGCTCGAAAGGGACACGAGGACGACGGAGCACGACAGCAAAACGCCAGACGAAACACACGCCGTTTGGCACAACACCCCCGGCGAAAAGCGCCCACGGGGGCGCGCAGGCGGTCCGCGTGCGCGGCGCTCACGCCGGGCCCGTGGCCCTGCCGTGCTCCCTCTGCGGCCCAGACCTCGACGTGGCCGAGCTCGCCGCGCGCGTCGACGCCGGCGGCGCCGCGGCCCGGCTCCCCGGGCGTCGGCACGCTGGGGGGGGGGGCGGCGGCAGGCTCGAGAGGTCCTCGAGGCTCTCGAGGCTGTCGGGCGCGAGGCGCCCAGGCCCCCTCGAGGCAAGGAGGAGGAGGAGGAGAGGAGGAGAGGAGGAGAGGAGGAGAGGAAGGAGGGGAGCGAGAGGAGGAGAGAGGTGGGCAGGGGAGGGGGAGGAGGGGGGAGGGGGCGGAGGAGGAGGAGGAGGAGGAGGAGGAGAGGAGGAGGAGGAGAGGAGGAGGAGGAGGGGGGAGGAGGAGGCAAAACATCACTCCGCGGGAGGTCTTTTTCGCCACGTTCGGCCTCCGGGGGCTCTTGGCCGCGCCTCGGGGCCGTCAGAGAACGGCTCGGGCGGGAGAGCCGGTACGGGGGAGTGGGTCCGGGGTCGAGTCATGGAGAAATCATGGCGTCATGGAGAAATCATGGCGTCGGAGGAGGAGGAGGAGCAGGGGGAGGAGGAGGAGGAGGAGGAGGAGGAGGAGGAGGAGGAGGCAGAAGATCTAGGCCTCCTAGATGGGGCCAGGGGGTCGCCTCGCATCGCCGGTGCGCCTCGACGTGGAGCCCGATTCGCTTCGCGTCGACGTCGCCGATGCATCGCCTACGTCGACGATGCATCGCCAGTGCATCGCCGATACATCGCCGATACATCACGGATGTATCGGCGATGCGGCGCGATCCTCCGACCCCATCTACTCCGACCCCATCTTGGAGGCCCTTAGAGGAGGCATCATAGGGGGGATGGGCTGTAGGGGGGCAGCGTGAGAATTTTCCAACTGTCGCTCGCAAGTGGTCGAGGGCCGGGGAAGTTTTGAGGTTTTCGGGCGTCTTCGCCGGTCCCTGGCGGCTTTCCAGCCTCGGGCTGCTGCGGCTGCGCCCCGCCGAGAGCGTTCCCGGGGCGCCCGGCTCGTCCCGAACGGCCGCTTGAGGCCCGATCTATGACCTGAACACCAAACGACGAGGACCATCGGATGGGGAGGGGCCCAGGGGTCGGGCGAAGAGAACTATGCACATGCACCGATCCTGGCAAGGCCCACCCTTGACCCAGGATCGGTGCATATGCCTTCCTGGCCAAGGCAGGAGGGCGTATGCACCGATCCTGGGCTCAGGATGGGCCTGGCCAGGATCGGTGCATGTGCATAGTTCTTGTTCCTCTAAGGGGGGATGCGTCGACCCCCAAGCGCGCGCTCGTTGCCGACGGGGGCCCGACAGCCCCACCCTCCGCCCAGGACGGTGCAGATCTGCGATCGGTGGCCTATCGCTGGTGTATCGGCGATGTATCGCTGATTCCATGATGGACCCATTTTCCACCACCACTACCATAGGTAGGAGAGGGAGGAAGAGGAGGAGGAGGAGGAGGAGGAGGAGGAGGAGGAGGAGGAGGAGGACCTCCTCATCCTCTCTTCTCCCAAGTCCTGCATATGGTAGTGGTGGTGGAAAATTTGCCCATCATTCCAGGTCGACGTTCCGCCCCCCGAGCCAGTGCGTCGGTGGCAACTCCCGGGAGGCTGGTCTACCCTCTTGCTTCCGTCTTGAGCGTCGAGGCGCGTCGGTTGGCGTCTGTGAGTCGATGAGACGTGCCGATTTGGCGTCGGTTGGCGTCGATTCAGCGTCGATTCAGCGTCGATTAGCGTCGGTTAGCGTCGATTCGCAAGAGCTCCCAGGATGGTATGGGAGGCTCCCATGAGTTACCACCGAACAGTGCCTCCGTTACCGTTGCTCCTTAGGCTCGGGTGCAGCCTGGTGGCGCCTCGGAGGCCCAACGCGCTGGTCTTGGAGACGTCCTTGCTCGATCTCTTCGAGTTTTCGGACCCCCAGCGGAGAAAAGACGGCATCAGCATCCGTTCTGGCGACCCCGCTGCATTCTTTCCCTCCTCGGTTGCCTTGCTTTCTCTTGCCTCGTCTTTGTGGCTGGTGCTCAGCATTGTGGGGTGCCCTTTTCTTAAGCGGGAGGCTGGCAGTTTTCATCATCTGCGCACTTGTTGAGGGGAAGAAGAACTGTATAAATATAGACTTTGGGAGCTCCGCTCCACGGCGATCCAGGCGCTCCCAAATGCTCCCATGTGTTCCTGGGCGCTCCCAGTATGCGCGCGGAGTTCCGGAAGTTTACTAAGGATTTCGCGATAGAAGGGGGGTGGTCTGATTTGGGGGGGTCTGATTGGACCTGTCTGGGAGGGTTCGGGGGGTGTCTTGGCAAGCGGCCGCCCTTTCGTGGCTGGTCTGGGGGGGGGCCTGACACGGCCCGTCTGGCGGGTATCCATGAAGATGTGAGATGCAAGGGATAGAGAAAGGTGTTGTCAAAATGCACAGTGCATTTTCAGGCTTCCATTTGAAGTACGTTTATACATCCTCCTTTATTCCTTTATTATGATTTTCTGAGCATGTTTCTGTTATTGCTTCCTCCTGCGCTGCTTCACAACTTGCTCCACCTCGTACTGAGCCCCGGCAGCGCCCGTGGGTGCACCGAAGCCGCGGCCCGATTGCTGCCACGGCCCCGCTGCGCTGCTGGCCGCATTTGCCCACTCGACATGGAAGTCCTCTGCGTCAGAGTGCTCTCCTCCTCCTCCTCCTCTTCCTCCTCCTCCTCCTCTTCCTCCTCCTCCTCCTCCTCTTGTCCTCCGCGGCCGCCTCGTCCCCATTTCCCCCCCTCCTTGCACGCCGGCCAATTCGCGTCTCGGTCACCCCTGATTGCCGCTCGCTGGTGCAGCACTTTTGCCTCGCCCCCGACGATAAATCATGGCGCCAAGAGTGAATTGCGTTTGGAAAACGAAATGATGGGCCCGGAGTGTCCCGCAGAATTTCGTTCCGGATTTCGAGGTGAATTGCGGGCGGGTGCTTTTGGCCAGGAATGAATATTTAAAAGAACCCACGCGAAATTCACTTTCGTTGTTCGATCGCCGCTTCGGGCAAAATCCACGCAGAAATCTGTTGCAGCACGTCTGCAAGGCCGGTGCAATGAGAAACAACTATTTGTTATTGCCCCCTCCTCCAGGACCGCGCGGTGGCCTGGCTCGTGCCCCGCGACGCCGAATACGCGCCGCTGCACCGCGAGGGGGGGCCCGAAGCCGCCCGGCTCGCCCTGCTGCGGCTGCACGCGGGGTCCAGGGGCGCCAAGAACTCAGGAGGAGGAAGAGGAGGAGGTGGAGGAGGAGGAGGAGGAAGAGGATGAGGAGGAGGAGGAAGAGGAGGAGGAAGAGGAGGAGGGAAGAGGAGAAGGAAGAGGAGGATAGGAGGGGGGGAGGAGGAAGAAAAGGAGAATCATACCAGCAATAAAGTAATAGTTGCAATTGTAGTACTAAGATCAGATATGCATAACAGGACGACCAAATTAACGGTATATTTGTGGGGGCATCGGTATTAACATGCGTGAGACTAGTAGTAGTATAGTAGTAGTAGTAGTAGTAGTAGTAGTAGTAGTAGCAGCAGCAGCAGCATGAGTAGTAGTAGTAGTAGTAGTAGTAGTAGTAGTAACTAGTAGTAGTAGTAGTCGTAGTCGTAGTCGTAGTCGTAGTCGTAGTAGTAGTAGTAGTAGTAGTAGTAGTAGTAGTAGTAGTAGTAGTAGTAGTAGTAGTAGTAGTAGTAGTAGTAGTAGTAGTAGTATGGTAGTAGTAGCAGTCGTGGTGGTAGTAGTAGTAGTAGTAGTAGTAGTAGTAGTAGTAGTAGTAGTAGTAGCAGAAGCAGTAGCAGTAGTAGTAGTAGTAGTAGTAGTAGTAGTAGTAGTAGTAGTAGTAGTAGTAGTAGTAGTAGTAGTAGACAAAGAAGTTTACTCATAGTGGTTAGTAGTAGTAGTAGTAGTAGTAGTAGCAGAAGCAGTAGCAGTAGTAGTAGTAGTAGTAGTAGTAGTAGTAGTAGTAGTAGTAGTAGTAGTAGTAGTAGTAGTAGTAGTAGTAGTAGTAGTACTAGTAGTAGTCATAGTAGTAATAGTAGTTCATAGTTAAGTCATAGTAGTAGTAGTAGGATAGTAGTAGTAGTAGTATAGTAGTAGTAGTAGTGGTGGTAGTAGTTAGTAGAGTAGTAGTAGTAGCGTAGTCGTAGTAGTAGTAGTTAGTAGTAGTAGTAGTAGTAGTTAGTAGTAGTGTAGTAGTAGTCGTAGGTCGTAGTAGTAGTAGAAGCGTAGTTAGTAGTAGTAGTAGTAGTAGTAGTAGTTAGTAGAGTAGTAGTAGTCGTAGTAGTTAGTCGTGATAGTAGTAGTAGTAAGGAGTAGTAGTGGTGGTGGTGGGGTGGTGGGTGTGGTGGTGGTGTGGTGGTAGTGGTATAGAGTAGTAGTAGTCGTGGTCGTAGTCGTGGTAGTAGTAGTTGTTTCTTTTTCTTTTTTTTTTTAGTTGTAGTAGTAGTAGTAGTAGTAGTAGTAGTAGTAGTAGTAGTAGTAGTCGTAGTCGTAGTCGTAGTAGTCGTAGTCGTAGACGTAGTCGTATGTGTAGTCGTAGTCGTAGTCGTAGTCGTAGTCGCAGTCGTAGTCGTAGTCGTAGTCGTAGTAGTAGGAATACCAGTCGCATTCTTATGTTGAGTAGTAGTAGTAGTAGTAGTAGTAGTAGTAGTAGTAGTAGTAGTAGTAGTAGTAGTAGTAGTAGTAGTAGTAGTAGCAGCAGCAGCAGCAGCAGCAGCAGTAGCACTAGCAGCAGCAGTAGTGGTAGCAGTAGTCGTAATAATACGCGTTTTACGATACGATGCGTGGTAAAAATGAAGATCATACTCATAATGAGGGAAGAAGAAAAAGGAAAAGGGAGGGGGAGGAAGAGAATCTGGAGGAGGAGGGGGGGAGGGGGAGAGGAGGAGGAAGAGGATTACTAATAATATTATCAAGGCTACGAATGGTAATACTAAAACCCATAACAGTATTACTACTGGAGTCAATACTGGTACTATTAATAGTAATAGGTGTATGTATATATTCATATTAGTTGTAGGAGTAATGCTGGTAATAATTTTCGTTTTGCGTGGAACATTGGAAGTACTCGTCGTATGACGAATACTTGCAATACTAGTAATGCGAATGCTACGAATAATGGCAAGGACCCCACCGTTAATAATACTAACATGGGTCATCGTACCAACCATGGCACTGATCTGTTGACGGTAAGCAACGCTTCTATAATCCATACTAGCACTAAGACTGCCACGGGTGATAATACTCACAATGAGGGAGGAGGAAAAGAAGGACGAAGAGGAGGAGGAGGACAGGGAGTGGGAGGAGGAGGAGGTGGTGGAGGAGGAGGAGGAGGAGGAAGAGGAGGAGGAGGAGGAAGACCATTGGAAACCCAAGAGTCACCAACGATGTTGGACTTATCCATCCCTCCAAGCTCCCTCTCCATAGGCCCCTACAGCGGTTCATCTCCATTGAGGGAACTGCCTCGTTGGAAGACAACAGTTTGAAGGTCTTGGAGAGTGCCCAGACATGTTTTCCGGGATTTCAACGCCACGTATCAACCTGATTGCTGCGTCTTGACGATCCAGAATCGTGCCAGAACGGCATTGTTTGGACTTCGACACGGCATTGTTTGGACTTCGACACAGCGAATCAACATAACTGCTGCGCTCGCATAATCCTGAGTCTTTTTAAAACACCATCTCTGGTACGCTGATCATTGGAATCCGTGAAACATTTGCAAATATTTAAACCGAATGTGCGCGGCGCTAAGGCGAGAGCACCTTTTTGAACACGACCCGCCCTCAGCCCGTGAAGCCCTTGCAAATCTTAAAACGAATGTGTGCGGCGTTAGGCGAGAGCCACATTTTGAAAACCACCTGCCCTCAATCCGTGAAACCCTGGCAAAGGTTAAAACCGAATGTGCGCGGCGCTAAGGGGGCAGCCACATTTTGAAAACCACCCGCCTTCAATCCGTGAAACCACTGCAATGTTTAAAATCGAGTGTGCGCGGCGCTAAAGCGATAGCCACATGTTGAAAACCACCCGCCCTCAATCCGTGAAGCTTTTGCAAATGTTGCAAACGAATGCACCCGGCGCAAAGGCGAGAGCCACATTTTGAAAACCATCCGCCCTCAGCCCGTGAAGGCCTTGCAATGTTCAAAACGAATGTGCGCGGCGCTTAGGCGAGAACCACATTGAGAAAACCACCCGCCCTCAATCCGCGAGACCGTTGCAATTTAAAAAAACGAATGTGCGCGGCGCTTGGGCGAGAACCGCATTTTGAAAACCACCCGCCTTCAATCCGTGAGACCATTGCAAATGTTAAAACCGAGTGTGCGCGGCGCTAAGGCGACAGCCACATTTTGAAAACCACCCGCCCTCAATCCGTGAAGCCCTTGCAAATGTTGAAAACGAATGCACGCGGCGCAAAGCCGAGAGCCACATTTTGAAAACCACCCGCCCTCAGCCCGTGAAGCCTTTGCAAATATTCAAAACGAATGCGCGCGGCGCTTAGGCGAGAACCACATTGAGAAAACCTCCCGCCCTCAATCCGTGAAACCGTTGCAAGTTTTCAAAACGAATGTGCGCGGCGCTAAAGCGAGAGTCACATTTTGAAAACCACCCGCCCTCTATCGGCGAAGCTGTTGCCACTTTTTAAGCTTCAGCGTCATGAGTGGTGAGAAAGTCTCAGGCGAAACGCCCAGCCTGCCTTACAAACTGTCCTCGGGGTGCGACAGGGAGGACTTACCTACAAGGAGAGGGAAAGGAGGAGGAGGAAGAGGAGGAGGAGGAGGAGTAGGAGGCGTAAGGAGGAGGAGGAAGCGGAGGAAAAGGAGGAGGAGGGAGGAGGAGGAGGAGGAGGAGGCGGAGAGCGGAAGAGGCGGAGGAGGTGAGGAGGAGGAGGAGGGGGGGGAGGTAGGAGTCTACGGGTCTCCAAGTTTGGCAATGGGCAAATGGTCGGCCCCGGGTGGGAGGAGGAGGAGGGGGAGGAGAGGTAGGAGAGGAGGAGAGAGGAGGAGGAGGAGGTAGGAGGAGGAGTAGGAGGAGGAGGAGGAGGAGGAGGAGGAGGAGGAGGAGGAGGAGATGGAGGAGGAGGTTGTGTGGTGACTCAGTGGGGATCTGGGTGTCCTAAGCTGATCCGCGTCGTGGAAAAAAAGTCGCGACGGCAAGCTTTACCCATCTTCGGCCTGCGGGGGCTTTCGCCGGACGCTGGGACCGTCAAAAAACGACTCAGGACGAAAGGTCGGTCTTGTTGGGGCCTCGGGCAGGGCTAGCACAAGGACAAATCTGCTCTAGAGCGTTCCGGATCTTTCTCAGAGCATTCCTGAAGGCTCTGAGAAGGTTGCGGCGCCCGAGACATTTTCCAGAGCCGCCGGATCTCATATATTCTCGATGTATCATCGCCGGGTTTCAATCTCGTCCTGGCTTCGTCCTATGGGGGGTCCTGGGATTGTAGGTCGGCCGCAGAGTCTGGGGATAGCTATATGTGTATACATATATATATATATACAAGACTGCATTGGCGCTGCGCGCCATGCACTTTGGTCCTTTGGAATTCGCACGCTAGCGGAATGCGAGCGTGCGTACATGCGCCCACACATGCGTCTATGAATGCATAGTACATATGGACATATATATATATACATACGTTTGTATGGATATGTACATGTAGATGCAAAGGGTCACTGTAACTATGTGTGCGCATACGCATGCGTATATCAGGCGGTGGTGGCCTGACCAGTTGCTCATATCATCGCGTCACTAACAGGCGCGAGGGTCTCGGGCAAACGTGGCCAGACTACCATGGAACAGTGCGTCGCCGAGGTCAGTGTTGCGAGGACGTCCCGGGTGAAAATGGCCTGAACACCTCCGCTCAGGGGAGGGCATATCCGAAGTCAGCCGCGCGAGGAAGTTTCAAGCGAGAAGTGGTCTGAACACCTCTGCTCAGGGCATCCTTGAACTTAGAGTTGCGAGAAGTCGCACGCGAAAGTGGCCGAACCACCATGGTGCAAGGCACCTCCGAAGTGAGACTTGCGAGAGTGTCTCAGGCGACAGTGGCTGGAACACCTCAACTGAGAGTGTCTCGGGCCCCAAAGCTGCGATGATGTCTCAAGCGAAAACGGCGGGACCGACGCGAAGCAAGGCGCTTCTGAGGTCGGAGTTGCGAGCATATCTCTGGCGAAGCGGATTAGACTACTTTCCGTTATCTCCTCTTCCTCCT